AAGGTCTACAGTGGCGATACTGTCCTCATCATCATCATCAGAGTCTTCCTCTTGTTCTTCCTCTCCGTCTTTCAGCGATACCTCCTCTTCCTCTTCTTCCTCGCCAACAAAGGACTCCTCGTCCTCTTCACTAGCCTTCTTCTTGGTGTTGGCCATGGTCTATCAGTGCAGTAACAATAAAGAACAAGAGGCTGCTAGCGAAATTATGATGAGTTTCGCTAGCTGGCTCTAGCGAAATGGCTGCAGCGAAATCCAAAAGGAAAACGTTGGTTAGTCGAACGTTTAGTCGATCGTGGTAGATAACGTTTTTCTTAAATTTTTGACTAAAATATCGACTAAACTGGATAGTTCGAGATTTAGTCCGTGGAGGGTAGACACCTCCTTGACTAAAGGTTACGGACTAAATCTGCGACTAAACAAGGTGCTAAAGTACTCCTTTAGTCCCTACTTTAGTCGCTTGGGTAGAGAGCGGCCTTAGCACACACCTTAGCCAATAGCATCCACAGTGCTCCATCATACTACTACTGTATAGTAGGAAGCCATCCCCTTTAAAATATCAATATCCAGCCGTCCAGCAGCATGTCATCCGCTGATACTAGCTAGTAGTACCAAGTCTGCTCCCAAAAAGCAAAAGCTGCCTCCACCATCGGAAGCACTATTGCACCTACTGGAACACAAGGATGTCTGGGTCAACAACGTCTTTTCGTTTGTAGGAATGGGACATTGTGCCTTTGTGGGACCCGTCAACAAGCAATTGAATCAGCTATACAAAGAGTATTGCGACAGCAAAAAGGATCCCACGCAAGTCTTCAAACGGCACAGACTCTACAACGAAACACGAGTCGCCACTGGCACGGATACATTCTACAGCTCCAGTTTCCAGAATGTGGCATGTGCTCAATACTGGGACACGTATGCTACACAAAGCAGCTCTGTTAAAAAGCCCTATGGCAGAGATGTCTGCGCCGCAATTGCGCTCGTTGGAACGCTCCCTGTGCTCCAATGGGCACGACAGAAAGAATTCCAATGGGATGCCCGAACATGCCAAGCTGCCGCCCAAGGTGGTCACCTGGAGCTTCTCCAATGGGCACATGCAAATGGCTGTCCATGGAACCAAAATAGAAGCACAGCCGCCGCAAAATGTGGCCATTTGCAAATCCTCAAATGGGCACGGGAGAATGGTTGCAACTTGGATGTCAATATACATGTACCAGGGCTGCCGAAAGGTGGACATTTGGAAATGCTGCAATGGTTGCGGGAACAAGGATGCCCTTTGAATGAGAGTGTGTGTTCGTTTGCTGCCAAAAATGGCCATCTGGAGACCCTCAAGTGGGCTCGAGCAAATGGATGCCCATGGAGTAGTTCTACCCTCTGGTGTGCTGCTGCAGGGGGGCATTTGGAAACCCTCCAGTGGGCTCATGAAAATGGATGCCCATGGAGTTTGGTGGTATCCCGTGATGTAGTAGCAGGTGGCCATTTTGAACTGCTGAAATGGGCCCATAACCACGGCTGTCCATGGGATGCATCGACCATCTATGAAATTGCTATACATGGCAATTTGAAAATGCTAGAGTGGGCTCAGCAAAGGGGATGTCCATGGCATGTGAGTACATGCCTGGTTGCAGCTAGATGTGGGCATTTGGAATGTCTCAAGTGGGCTCATGAGAATGGATGCCCTTGGCATGAAGGTGTATGCAAAGAGGCAGCTCGACATGGGCAACTGGAAGTCGTGCAGTGGGCGCATGAGAATGGGTGTCCATAGGATAGAAGAACTTGCCAATCTGCTGCTAGAGGGGGGGCATTTGGGAATTCTTCAATGGGCATATGAGAATGGATGCCCCTGGGATGAAACAACTTGTGCAGCTGCAGCTCGTGGAGGCCACTTTGAAATTCTAAAATGGGCTCACCAGAATGGCTGCCCGTGGGATACCTTTACAGTCCATGATGCAAATGCAGGTGGCCATTTGGAAATCGTCCGTTGGGCTCGTCAGAATGGATGCCCAGAAGGGGTGGTAGACACAGATGACGTTTCCGACAGTAGCGTTAGCGAAGATCAGAAAATGTATAGCGATCTGTCGATTAGCTGGTTGCTCGTTCTTCGTACGGTAGAGTCGAGTCGAGTCGAGTCCTCGGTCTGTTGCTTGCCTTGGCCACGGAAAAACGTTGCTTTGGCCATGGAAAATCGAGGATCGTTTCGATGGACGGAAAAAGGGCGACTGCACCATAACAAAAGTCGCGTACTCAAGGAAGCTGCAGCACGCTGTCGAATTAGAAAGTGTACGCCTTGATGACGACTTTGATTGGAGCGTTCCTCACTGTGATACTGTAGCTTGTGCGATGAGGTCGATTGCGTCGCTCGAACTTGCTAGTCGCGATCGCTTGAGTACCGTACTGGCATCGTCCAACAGCGACAAGCCATTTAGCATCGATCGAGGCCAATCGCTTCTATCACTACCGATATCTGCATCCACTTTTCGGGCCGAGCAAAACTCGCACGTGAATGATGCAATCGAATCAAACAGGCAGCTTGCTCCGTACCACGTGCCTGTACTCGCAGCCTTCCTTTGAGGCCAGCCACGCACCTCAGTTCTCTGACGACTACCGGTTCTTGGAGTCTCAACTCCCCCGACAATCCCGCTACGGTACCGTACTACGATCGGATATTAAGGCGCAGCTGCGAGATGCGACGTTTGCTCTTCCTCCAAAAACGCATGAATCGAATCGAGCAAGATCGCGGCCGAACAGAGGAAACGCTCTTCTCCGCCGCATCAGTTTGCGTCGGTCGCTTGGAACCGTTCCCTGTTCTGGACGATCTATCTACTCCTCTGTCATGGTCGAAATGGTATACAAGTCATGACTGTCACTCTAGCTAGTTGGTAGCTAGATAGACAACGTGAGTCGAGTCAATTTGAGCTGGTTCATTCCTGAATTAATTATTGGTAAGGTACGTAGTCTACACCGTCACTTCCGTCACGTATGCCGACAGAGAACTAACTAACCACGCTTCAGTATTGGTAACAACAAGAGAAGCAGGGACAAAGGAAATGAATCGAATCGTTTCATGCAAGATATGCAAATTCTACAGGGCACGGCTCGTATCGGTTGCGCCAATTGAGGGACGCCGTGTGGAACAGATCATTGTCGTGTAAAAAAGCAGGCGACTTTCCATCCACCGAGCAAAAGTAGTAGCAACACGCATAATAAAAGAAGTAGTGGTTTGGCGTGCCCTCGGCAGCGTAGTCATTTTCGAAAAGAAGACGACGAAAAGAGCCCTCCCAAAGACATGCCTCTCTTTCCGAGATAGGGTCGTGGGATAGACGGCGGTGGACTGCTGTCATCGTGGCTGCCATGCGACCTGAGTCGGGTGGCTCGTTTGGGTCGTAACAAGGCCGCCAAACCACCGGACGGTACCATCAGGGATGTTGACCTGGTTTTTGTGGTTGGACTACTCGTGGTTGTGGTCGGTTCGGGACTCGTAGTACTGCAATCTTGTGGTTCCTTGTGAGGATGATTGTGGTGTTGTGGTTGTTGTTGTTGTTGTGCTAGTAGTACTTCTTGGAGTGTTTGTAGAATGGTGGAAAAGTCAGGTCGTGCATTGGGGAAAGGACTCCAGCATCGTTTCATGAGGCACTGTAGATTCATGGGCCAATGTTTGTCAACATGTGGTCGTTCTCCTCCCATGACGACGTTTGCCATGTGTTTGGCACTGCTATACCCATAAAATGGTTTCTCTCCCGACAGCAACTCATGAAGCAGAATTCCAAAAGAGTAAACATCGACAGTTTGATTGTATGGCAATTCCTTGGCAACTTCGGGTGCCATGTATCGTCGACTGCCAGTGTTTCCCGTGAGCTGGTATCGTCCATCGGCATGTGATTCGTTGGGTTTGAGTTCCTTGGCCAATCCAAAATCGAAAATCTGTAGGATCATGAAGCGAAGCAAAAGAGTGGATGAATAAATGAGGGTACAGAAAGGAATATAGAAGAAAGAGCAATTTCTATTGAGGTGCGAAAAAGACATACCTTGAGTGTCCCGTCCTTATCAAAGCCAATATTGTCCGGCTGGTGATAGGTACCATACCGTAGGAGAGCAAGTAGGGTGAGTAAGCACTGTAGTTTGAACACTGTTCTGCTAGCAAGTTCCTCCTCGACAGCATCTTGGAATGTTCTTACCTTTAGATCTCTAAAGACGACCCGATGTTGATGCAAATACTGCATGGCAGTCGCAATTTGAATGGCAATTTGTATTCTCTGCGTGAACTGATTTCGTTTGTGCTGTTTGTGTTCACTGCTCATACTGTTGGTGATAAAGGCAAAGAGTGGTTCCTTTTGTTCTTGTTGCTCCTGCCGCCATTGTTCCAGCGTTTGCTCCAACGTGGAATAGAGGCGATCCACTGTAATGAACAGTCCGTACTTGTTGTTATTGTTGTTGGACATGCTGACATTGGATGCCAAGTCTCCTGCCGTGACGGCATACAGATTGAGAATGTTGGGATGACCTCGTAGTGCATGTAGAAAGTAGGCTTCTTGTGCCAAATCGGCAGCGCCGTGTGCAAACTGTTTTCGATTGGCCATGATGGATCGCTTCAAGAATTTCATGGCCAGTGGTTGGGGATCACCTTCTTCACCGCATAGTAAGTGCTGTTTGAGAGTACACGCCTTGACGGTACAGAATCCTCCTTCTCCCAGAGTTTCTTCCACGTCCAAATCGTCACAATCCAACTTGCGGAGGTTCATGCAGTCTTTCTTGTTCTTGTTGTCAAAGAGCACGGAATTCTCTTGCAGCTTGAGCACGGCGTCCACGGCGGCCTTGCTGGCCAACATGGCACTGGCAGGACACACTTTGCCATAGGCCGTACAGGAACACGTACAAGAACTCAGACATTGTTGGATTTGCTTTTGATCACGATGATGATGATGATTGTCACACTCGTCGTCCTTCCGTTCCATCGTGCCGGCAGTGACCTTCACTTCGTCGCTAGTAGGGGCCACCATTGTCTATCGTCTATCAGTGCAATGCAATACAATACAATACTATACGAGCGTTGTTTCTTTGGTGTTTGGCGGTTGCCTTGTGTTTATGAGCTCAACTCCTGGAACAGGGCAAACTGGCAAACTGGCAAACAAGTAGGATAGCTTTGGTGGAATGCCAATCAATGGTTGGTTCACTGACACCACAAGGCAACGAAATGAGATCGGAAGCAATCAACGGAAGCAACTACTGCTACGGAATGGGCAGCACAGAAGCACAAGTGGTGGGAAAGGAAGTTGGCTTGGTTCACCCTTCGCTTTTCCTTTTGGATTTTTGTCGAGGTTAGGTCTAGAGTTGTGGATCAGGATTGTGGGTACTTGAAGCTTGACCATGGGTCATCACAGGAAACCGGAAGCAGTGCAAGAGCAGTTAAAAACCAAGGTCACATACATACATGCAGCCGGGCTCCATAATAATTAAGAAGTGGTCTGGACTCACTACGTATGTGACTGTAATTCTTACATGTAATTCTTCAGTGGCGAGCCCAAATAAAAGATACCACTATGAATGGGTTGTACTGAACGCTGTTCCTTCCGGACAGAAAAGAGACACCAGGGAACCAGGAGTTAATGATAGTCAAAGAAAGAAGTGACACCAGAGGCTCTGAGCTCACCAGAGAAGAGCAAGAGACGAAAGATTTACAGTCACAGGGCTGTCAACATTCTCCTGAGACTGTTCTTTGGACACAGCTGCGGAACCTAAGCTTCAAGCTTCAAGCAAGCTGTCAACTACAGCAGCTCTCTGTCAAAAGCTGCAATCATCTGCGTTTACCGAACACTGCTGACGTCAAACTCCGATAATCCGTCCTGAATATTATGGTACGGTCACACATGTTCGGTATGGTACCGTAAAGTGTACCTCGATGAGATTCTAACCTTGGCCTTACATCAACTCTGGCTTCCTGGTTTCTGCTTTTTATCTAAGACTGTACCATTGTACGGTAGCTCGCTAGCAGCAGGGTACAGTTCGGTAGCACCTCTTGGAACACACGCAGAAGAACTTTTCTCACAATTCCAAATTGAACAAGCAAATTTGCGCTACAGTAGTACCGTACACGTGTACCGTACCAGCCCGGCTACCGGATGTGCTACTGTAGTACGGTAGGGCATGATCATTCATTCGAATCTTCAATCCGTGTCCTCATTCATCAATGCAGTGGATCCTTATCATGACCAGAGATCATTACGACTGAAACGCCAACCCCAAACCACCCAACAAGCAAGAGGATCTGGATAAAAAGGCAAGCTGACAGAGAAGATAGATGCAATGCTCAAGTTCGCATGACATCATCAGCTGCATCATCTTTTGCCTTGTCAATGATCATGCTGGGGAGTGAAAGGTTGCGCCCTGGGGCTCTTGAGGACGACACGCACGCATTCTCTTGATGAAATACTGACTTTTAAAAAGAAAAATGCTTGATGAAATTCTGACCAAAAGGAAATCTACGCCTGGAGATGCTGTAGACTTGTGTATTGATTCAACTACAACACGCACGCATTCTCTTGATGAAATATTGACTTAACAGAAAATGCTTGATGAAATTCTGTCTTATATCAATACGAGCAAGGCATTCCAGATTTCTGGCTCTTTTGGCTCAGATCAATCTTTCCAGCTTTCGAAGAACGATTGTGAAATAATCTGCTTACATTCCTTTGGACGACGAGTCAAGCCAAGCCCTGAACAGGACGATACATGTACATGTAATGGAAAATTTCTGTACCTCTGCGGAACATGTGGTCTGATCGTTTTGTCGGTTTGTCGGGGCTACTGGGTGCTCTAGGCACTGAGATTGCTGCTTTTCTGTTTTGGTATTCTCTACGTACTTGCCTCCGGGACAAGCCTCGGCAAGATGATTTGCCTAAGACACCATTGGCTCTTGTGGGACTTCGGATGGTGATTGTCGGAATGTATTTGTTGTTGTTGTCACCATTGTTTTACGAACTCTCTTTCTTGAGTGAGTCAATTGACAGGACTAATGGCAGAGCATCCGATACCACACTTCCGGGTCTTATGGCGCAGTTCAAGCAGGATTATGGACGCATTGTATCAACTGAATCTGGCTTTACACGTCTACACCACAAACTACTACACATTGACCTGCCTATGGTTGGTGAGGCCCAACCCGTGATTTATACTATGGAGCACAATCTTGCAGGTCGGTACTGGTAGCATAAGAGTAAGAAGCCGCACAAGAGGTGCGCCTAAATCTTAGCACTGTGGCCAAATTCAAGAGTGTTGCTGTGGCTGTAGCGGTACCGGTACAATCGCTTCAAGGACACATGCAGTGCTCTGCGCGGTCCTAGCATTTGACGGCTCCTCCAAAACTGCATCGGCCTCTGCTAGGCTGGGGTAGGGTCAAATCTGGCCGGTAGGCAAGCTGTGAAAGACCGGCCGCGAATGGGGTCGTAGCGGTGCGACAGAAGCAACTAAAACAACTACAAGCAACAACAGCGCACGACCGTGTTGTTTCTTCACCCCGATTCCTTGCATGATGGGAACCTGTCCGACGCCCTACCAGTACAGTTTTACTGAATGCTTGAATCTTCTCAAGCTCACCTGTACAAGATCATAGCGTCCGGGCATCAGCAGTAAAAAATGTATCGTTTCGTAAAAATCGCTTTCTGATAAGGAAATGACAGAAGAACCCTAAGGGAGATGGTTGTTAAGTATGTTTTCTACAAATGTGCATAAATAAGACTTTAAGAGACAAAAGTCAAGAGTCATTAATAAAAACACACCATCAAATACTGTACCTGGTACACGTAGCGACTTTCTTAATTGTAACTACTATTAATAGTATGAATCAAAGCTCAATTTCCGGTACCGTACGCATGCAAACTAGTATCACGGCACCAGTACCTACAATGTCCTAGAGTACTGGGTGGCCGGCTAGCTAGCTAGTACTGTACACTGTACTATAGTATAAGGGGGGTTTTAGAGTAGGGAAATTATCTACGGAAGCCAGTAACTCTAGCTAGCAAGCCATAATGACTGTTACATGCCCAGTTCTAAAGCACACAGTCAAAGTCCTCACTGGGTACCGGTACCGCTACCGGTACCGGTACTACTCGGTGGCATGGCCACACTATTTTTAAATAATGCAAGTACTCTTAGTGTTTCGAGTGATCATTCCATGGTACAGTACAGTAGTATTTCGTAAGCGTTCTGAGAACAGTTGTTAAACCATTTTCGGGTTCTCAATTCTCTTTGTATCTCACGAGACAAGTCAATAAACAGTTTTCTCGAGACCAGAAGATACTCCAAGAATGGAAATAAATGACTATTTTGGTATATTTACAGAATACTATGTTGAAAGGGCGACCTATTTCGATACAGGCCGACTCTGTAAGAGAAGTCTCACTCTGTCCGTCGTCCGAGTAGCTTTGTATGGCACAGCACCAAAAATGAATGACATCCCGGCAGAGGAATGACAAGCTGCCAGCAACCATTTGGTTTCGATTGGCACCCTCCATGCTTGGAGTATAGTCCACAATCTATGAAGGAACTTTCACCATGGTCCTTGCGTTTCAAAGCTTCAGTTGTGTCTAGCAGTTTCCTCCTCTGACTGATCCTCATGAAGAAGGCGCGCTCTTTATTCGTACCATATCTTTGGCCAAGCATCATACCGGTAGGCTGTCACGACTACAAGTACGTACCAAGGCGACTCCCATATCACTTGCGGGCAGTGGTTCGTTCAAGTGCTACAAATGGCTGGCTTGGCAAGCTTCTGTAAGGCTTCCAACCCATGAGGTTACCCCAGAAAAATCGCTCTGATAGCCGAATGGATCGCCCTTCTTCCTCATAAGCAAGACATTGATGCCAGGAGTGTCCCCCAATTCCAACTCCACTGCTGGCGGCAGCACAACCGGTAGGCCAAAACATCAAATAGCAAGCTTCGAATTAAAAAAAAAGCATTGTTGATCATACAATTCGATCGAATCATTCTTTCCTTTCTAACAAGCTGCATGCTAGCATGGCTCTTTACAGAAGCCTTCATAGCTCTATCTTCCTGGCAGTGGACTTGCTGGCTTGGTGGTACCGTATTCGCTTCCCTCTTCTTGTGCAACCCAGAGGTGCGGGGCAACGACTTTTTTGAAACATGCGAACTGTATCTTCATTGGAGTTAGGGATAAGAACAGTACGAGTATCTTTTTCGAAACGATGATCGATGTTTCCTTCTTTTCGTCGACCTGGCCATCATGACAACAACGATTGCCATCAAGCATGAAGCTTGAGAATTCTTTCCAAGGCTAACAAAGAACCATCGCAAGTGTAGTGGCTAGCTAGCTATAAGGAGTAGCAAGTTAACGTCCAGAGGATTCAACAACGCCAGTGTCAAAACGTTTGATTGCTGAGAACCTGTTTTCTGATTTGAAGATCCGTTGGTAGTCTCTTAGTCAGTCGGTCAAGGGATCATTCTTTCCAGTTGAATTGTCAAGAACCTTGATAATCTACTCCATCAAATTAAGTATTTCCACCATGACGCTTTCATCTCGGATTTTGACCCGGCTGAAGTCTTCGCAAGGAGTACTAGCTGCAGCAGGAAGATCTTTCTCTTCGTCTACCGCTGCCACGTCTTCCGTGGGATTTATTGGTCTGGGCAACATGGGATTGCCCATGAGCATCAATCTGGCCAACAAGGCGAATGATAGCAAGATGGATGTGATTGCCTTTGACGCCAATCCAACAGCCCTGAATTTGGCCAAGGAGGCTGGAATGCGTACGGCAAGCTCTGTGGAAGAAATCGGAGCCTCCAATTGTTCTGTCATTATTACCATGCTACCAGGATGTCAAGCAGTGGATGCAGTCACTCCAATTCTACTGGAAAGCTCTGATCCAAATGCATCTACACTCTTTGTGGATTGCTCCACGGTACGTTTGTACTGTAGATATGGTGGACTGAAAATCATCAAAATCGATTTCTCTGAATACCTCACCCAAACCGTTGTTCTATAATACGTGTCTTGCATTTTTGGCGTCTTCTATCTATACCGGTAGGTTCACCCATCGACCAGCCGGCGATGGAATGACGAGCTAAAAGAAAAAGGTCACACCAGAATGGATGCTCCCGTCTCTGGTGGTGTCAAGGTTAGTTGGAATAATGACATGGCACCGCTATTCCTTGTCTTTTCTTCATGCCATCCCACCATCCCGTTCTTACGTACCGGTACTTACTTCACTATCCATGACAAATTTTTGCCATCACGTATACAAAGGGAGCTACCGATGGGACTCTGACCTTTATGGTGGGCTGTGACGACCCCGCCACCCTCCAACAGGCTCAACCACTTATAATGGGACAACGTTCCATTCATTGTGGAACCGCCGGCGCTGGATCCGCCACGAAATTGTGCAACAATCTCGCACTGGCGGCACAAATGCTCGGGATTTGCGAAGCCATGAATTTGGGAGAAAGTCTCGGTGTCGATCCCATTGTGCTTGCACAAGTCATGAACACGTCCACGGCCAAATCCTGGTCGTGTGAAGTCAACAATCCACATCCCGTCGTTGCCACTGACAGAGGCACGGGTGCGGCAGCCAATCGGTATCAAGGTGGATTTGGATCCAAACTCATGCAAAAAGACTTGAGTTTGGCCGTCAGTGCCGGTGCCGATGCGGGTGTCGCACTGCCCGTGGGAGTCTTGTCCAAGGAACTGTATCACATGGCCACACTGCATGGTTTGGGAGACAAGGATTTTGGTGTCATGCTGCAGTTTCTTCGTGGGCAGAAACCGTAGTACTACTGCCTGTAGTAGAACATGACAGAGAGATATTGGAATAGAGACAACATCCACACACATACACACGCACAAGCAGCAATACACTTGGAAAAGTCATATACAGTAGAGGAAATTCAAAACGAGATTATAGTCAAAGAGAAAGTCAAAAACTAGCTAGATTCAGGGTCCGATGTGGAGCCAGGATGGAGCTTGGTTTGTAGTACCGACAGCATCTGCATCATGGGTAGTAGATACGTACAGATGTCCTCGATCTTCACTCCATAGACCTGCCGAAATCGCTGAGACGATGTACCGGTATCCCATGTGGGTGTTCCAACAAAACAGAGTTGGCATTTGGCACAGATCTTCCTTGGAGTGAATGACGATTCGAGTCGTGGCAAAATAGAATCTTAATTAAGTTTTGGGAGCGTTTTCAAAAATGCATTAGAGCGCAAAAATGCACTCTAATGCATTTTTGAAAACGCTTCCAAAAATCGATTAGGATTCGATTTATACACGACTCGATTCGTCATTCGTCCGGCAGTCTTTAAGTCTTCTCAACTACTGTTAGCGGTACTTATTACCGTTTCGTTGTTTCCTTTGGCAGCCACAGAACGCCCCATGCCAAATTAGATCGTATTTCACCAATATTAATCACGGTAAATGAATGATACTGTACAAAACGTTTCAGCTCCAGCCCAATCAAAATGTCAATGGCTCAACGATGCTACCGGTACCCGATTCATTCGGTTCATGATTCGCTGCCGCGATGGCTTGGCACATGAACGGAAGAAGAAGATTGCATGCTGCCCCTCGCGAACTAGGGCACGATTACTCTTCTATTTGGCGACGGACGCGTGGCCCTGTCGGGAGACTATAACCTTTTGATCTATAATACTTGTGTATAAACCAGGAGTTGGCTGAGTTGGCTCGTGATATCATTTCTAATAATTCTGTTTTTGTTTAGCATTTCTAATTTGTTTGTACGTACGGGAGACCACCGCCCACTGAGCACAAAAGACGACCTTTGATCGAACGAACGAACGAACGAAAGAAGCAAAGATAGCCCTGATGATTGTCTTCTTTTGCTCGCCCGTGCCGAACCATGAAACACCATCACCCAATATTTGCACGCAGTTACGGTACGGCAGTTGTAGTTGTGTGTGCACGTGGAGTGACTGACTATACTAGAATGAATGCCTCGGCAGCAGGAGTATCATCCACCTGTTCGTCCATTGTATCAGGGTCTTCTTCGTCGTCGTGTTGTTGTTGCTGATCATGTTGTTCCATGTCATTGTCATGTTCGTGTTCATTGTCATTGGATGACGGTGCTTCTCCTTCTTCTTCGGCCACAACGAGATCATCCTTGAGATTGTCGTGTTCGTGTTCGTCCGATTTCATACTATTATGATCGTGGTGCAGCGGGGGTGGTGGTGGAGGGAATATTCCTGGCAACGGTGGCGGCAATGGCGGGGGTGGAAGTTGCCCCTCTACCGTCGCAAAAGGTGGTGGTGGTGGCACAACCGGTACTGGTGGCGGATGATGATGATGATGATGGGGCATGTTGTTGTTGTTGTTTTGGTTGTTGTTTTGGTTGTTGTTATTATTATTGTGGATGGGTCGTTTTTTGCCTTTTCGTTTGGTATCCCGGTCCACTCGATCCGCTCGGTCTGGTAACAAAATAACGTATTAGAAGCATTGTGTGGATTTCAATTTGAACACTACATTTGAATATTTGTTTGTGTACTTACTGATATCCCTCATGACTTGACATGCCTTGTGAATGGCTTATATCGTCGACATCTTCCCATTTCGTCGTTCTCCTTGTATTGTCTGCTGTTGTTTTGATTTTTTCTTGAGTAACCGTCCCCCCAACGCTCGTATCTGCGTGACAATTTCCGACGCCAATGCCTGTTTTTCCGTAAAATTTCCATTGTCAAAGGCTTCCTTTCGTTCCAATGCCAATTTTCGCAATCGTTTT